TGGAGGTGAGAGGATTGCCTGAGTTCAGGGGTTTGAGACCAGCCTGGGCAACTTGGCAAGACCTCATCTCTACAGTAAATCAAAAAAATTAGCTGAGGATGGTGGCACATGCCTGTGGTTCCAGCAACTTGGAAGGCTGAGGCAGAAGGATCACCTGAGTCCACTAGATTGAGGCTGCATGACTATGGGTGTGCCACTGCACTCCAGCCTGGGTGACAGAGTGAGACTCAAAAAAGAACTAACCACTGATAGCCTCAAACCCCTGAGCTCAGGCAATCCTTTTGCCTCTGCCTCCCAAAGTACTGGGATTACAGGCTTGAACCACTGTGACAGGCCATGGTTAGATCTTTATGGCAGAAATACAGTGAGGTTTTTCTTTCCTTTTTTCTTTCTTTTTTTTTTTTTTTTGAGTTGGTGTCTCACTCTGTTGCCCAGGCTGGAATGCAGTAGCATGCTCATGGTCACCGCAGCTTTGACCTGCTGGACTCAGGTGATCCTCCCACCTCAGTCTTCCAAGTAACTGGAACTAGAGGTATGCACCACTACACCTGGCTAATTTCTTTTGATTTCTTGTAGAGATAAGGTCTCACCAAGTTGCCCAGACTGGTCTCAAACCCCTGGTCTCTGGCAATCCTCTCACCTTGGCTTCCCAAAGTGCAGGGATTACAGGCTTGAGCCACTGCCCCCAGCCTTAGAGTGAGGTTTTCGAATAACATTTTTTTTTTTTTTTGTATTTTCAAAATCTGCAATGAACCTATATCATTTTAAAAAATATTATTTGATAATTGAAAATTTTCTGAAAATATTCTTTAGAAATATATTCACTAGTGTTCTTCCATTTGGAATAAAAGTGCCTAGTTTTAAAAAGTAAAGAAGGTTTGTAAAGAACATAAGGCCTGAAACTAAAAGTTTCTCCATGACGAGATGAAATTCTGAACACTGCAGAAGGGATTACTGGAGATGTTGATTACTTAAGACATTAATAAGAGGGCATTAAAGAACAGTAGGATCAGGTTTCAATTAATGTCTGTGAAGGCATTGCATAAGCTGACTTTGAAGTTGGTCTCTCTTTTGCTTCTTTCAGTTTTTTAAACGCATAGCTTGATCTCCCTTAATTTCTAGAACATTAGTATTTTGGTTTATGGATGATTATTATTTTACTTTATTATCATGTCCCTAATTTGCTCTTCTTTCTTGCTATGGACTCGATGGTGGTCTTTACTACATTCTTTTTACATCTTCTGTTAATATTTTATTTATTTATTTATTTATTTTTGAGTTGGAGTCTCACTCTGTCATCCAGACTGGAGTGCAGTGGCCGCTCTCGGCCACCGCAACCTCAACCTGCTGGGCTCTGGCGATCCTTCTGCCTTAGCCTTCCAAGTAGCTGGAACTACAGGCACGCGCTTCCATACCTGTCTAATTTTTAATTTATTGTAGAGATGAGGTCTCGCCAAGTTGCCCAGGCGGGTCTCGAACCCGCAGGCTCAGGCAATCCACTCACCTCAGCCTCCCAAAGTGCTGGGATTACAGACTGAGCCACCGAGCCCGGCTAATATTTATTTATAAAATGATCTGAGAAGTGAAACTCTTAAGTTGACCAAATGCCTGGGCATTGTATTGTGAGTAACACACAGAATCGCATGCACCAGCTCAGAGACAACCTAATCTGAAATACATAAGAGACAGTGTGCCCAATTTCTTCCAATGACAGCAGATTTTGAATCTAAAAACCCCTTTAGGATCGGATCAGGGAACTTCTCTTTGCTGTAGGACATCCTGAGCTACAGGGCCTTGGGGTCCTTTCTGGGGATTGTTGGTGGACCTGATGTGGAGTCAGGACTTTGAGAGGGAGTAAAGACAGGATAGAGAAGTTAAGATTCACAAATGCCAGTTAGGGTACAGAGGGTGAAGGTGGGTGGATGGGCGCAGCACTGCCAGAGCTGGCATGCCAGAGGTGCGTGCTGGCAACCAGAGATCTGAGTAATGCAAAGATTTGCAACACACAAAGAGGCGAAAGAAGAAAAGATTTATTTAAGAAAGAGATCACTTCCCACAAACAGGAAGAGGGCCTACACTCTAGGTGAGTGTGGCCCTGTAGCCTCCTGAGCTCTGGTTTAAACCCTTTCCCTTGGAGGTATTGCATTTAGGTAGACATGACTGCCATGACTTCCTTGCTGACCACCTGCGAATGTCTTGGAGACCCTGAGGGGGGTCCTGGTCACCATGCACCAAGTATACAATGGGTTGATACTGGGATACTGGGATTTTAGAAGTCTGGGTTTCTAAAAAAGACAAATTACAATAGGCTGTTACCAGTCATGCTCAAGGAGTCTGTGTTTCTGAAAAGACAAAGTTGGCAAAGTTAATCTTTACCTAGATAATGCATTTCTCCAAAACATAGCTTCTACTTTCTCATCATTGATTAAGGTTTAGGAACAAGATTTAAAAAATGGATTTCTCCAGGACATAGCTTCTACTTTTTCCTCATTGTGTCAGAGTTTAAGAACAAGATAAAAAATGGCTTCCCACTCTCGGTCTATCCTTTCATTCAAGACTCACAAATGCAAGTTATCCTGCTGAGAATAATGGTTGGCCAAATAAACACTGCTGAGCAGCCACTGTTGTGTCCTGAGTGGGTCTGCCTGGGGTGGGACTTCGGGGCATAAGCTTGAGTCTTGGTGCCTTTGATTCCAGGCTTATCTCTGTCTTATATTGACCATATGAGCCTACTTTGATATTTCTGCCTGTGAGCCTCCGGTTATCTGTACAATGGCTACAGTGTCAATCTCTTTTTTTTTTTGAGTTCGAGTCTAACTCTGTTGCCCAGGCTGGAGTGCAGTGGCAAGCTCACAGCCACTGCAGCTTCGAACTGTTGGGCTCAGGTGATCCTTCCACCTCAGCCTTCCAAGCAGCTGGAACTATAGGCATGTGCCACCATGCCCGGTTAATTTTTTTTTTAAGTTGGAGTCTCACTCTGTCGCCCAGACTAGAGTGCAGTGGCATGTTCAAGGCCATCGCAGCCTTGACCTGCTGGGCTCAGGTGATCTTTCCACCTTAGCCTTCCAAGCAGCTGGTACTATAAGCATGCATCACCACACTAGCTAATTTTTTAATTTATTGTAAAGATGAGGTCTCACCAAGTTGCCCAGGCTGGTCTTGAACATGTGGGTTCAGGCAATTCTCTCATCTTGGCTTCCCCAAGTGCTGGGATCATAGGCGTGAGCCACTGCGCTCAACTTTTTTTTTTTTTTTGACTTGGAGTCTTACTCTGTCGCCCAGACTGGAGTGCAGTGGCCACCACCGGCCACCGCAGCTTTGACCTGCGGGGCTCTGACAATCCTTCCGCCTCAGCCTTCCAAGTAGCTGGAACTACAGGTGTGCACTACCACACCCGGCTAATTTTTTTTATTTATTGTAGAGATGAGGTCTCACCAAGTTGCCCAGACGGGTCTCGAACCTGCGGGCTCAGGCAATCCACTCACCTCAGCCTCCCAAGGTGCGGGATTATAGGCTGAGTCACTGAGCCCGGCTTTTTTTTTTTTTTTTTTAAATTTACTGTAGAGACGAGGTCTCACCATGTTGCTCAGACTAGTCTTGAATCCCTGAGCTTAGGCAATCCTCTTGCCTCTGCCTCCCAAAGTGCTGGGATTACAGGCTTGAGCCATCACACCCAGCCATCAGTGCTCCCTCTTTTACAGATTGCCATGAGGCAACACTTGTGAAGTGTCCGGCTCACTGTAGGCCTCCCTCTTAGCATAGTTTTGGGTATGATGAGATAATTTGGAGGGAAGAACACGGGGTGACAAAAGCCCAGAAGAGCATTCACTGCCCACCTCAGCAAAGTCAGGAAAGAAGGCAAAGGACTTTAATAGTTTTAAAGTTAACCACCCTCCCCAACATCACACATTTTCCATGGGTCACACAGTAAGGAAACCTTCCTGTTTTCATCTTTGACTTAACTGCTATGGCAAGAACATTGAGATTTCCTTAGTTATTTTTTTCTTTTTTTTTTTTAGACAGGGTCTCACTCTGTCACTCAAGCTGGAGTACAATGGCGCAATCATAGCTCACTTCACCCTTGAACTTCTGGGCTCAAGGGATCCTCCTCCTCTGGCCTCCCAAAGTGTTGGGACTACTGGTATGAGCTACCACACCCTGTTAGCTTTAAAATTTACCTGTCATAATCCCATCTCTTTCCCACTAATGATAAAAACATTAAAGCAGTAGGCTCTGAATGATTTTCATAGGATCATCCAGGCTGAACCCTGCCCTGAAGTTAGCCAGAAAGGAGAGGCACAAAAATTAGACTCTAGTTAGGTAAACCCAAAGGCCTGAGATAGGGAGGGAACACACCCTGGTGGGAGATTGTGGGAGTTCAGAAAGTAACTCTCCAAAACTCACTCCCTTTTCTGGAGGCAAAACCACCCCATAGCCTGGGGTTTAACTGTTGACAGATAATCCTTTTCAAATGCCCCAGGTAGATGCCACAACACCAGGGACAGAAGTGACTGTCAGCAGGTGTAGCAACTGACAACTTTGAGAACTTTGTGGCTGGAGGCTGTTGCTCTCTTGGGGGCCCTTCAAGTCACAGTGATGTCTTAATGTAAAAAAGACCCATTGCCTCTGTTTCTGCTTACTTCTCGGCCTCTTTGCTGAACGCCAGACACAGAGGCTTTCCCTGGGGTCTTTCCAGAAGGACAACTCTCTTTTTCTGTTCAGAGCACTGGCTTCTCACAACCAGGTCTCACTCACCGCCCCCGCCAGATGGGGTGAGGGGGGGGCAGTATTCCTTGACCACTCAACTAAATGAATGTAGCTTCCCTGTCCCTATCCCAGGGACCCCAACATCTCCTTCTTGGCACATATTTTGTCATAATTTATTTATTTGTTTATTTTTGCTATCCCATCATAATCTGTAAGCTCCAGGAGAAAGACGACCTGTTTTTCCCGAATGGGTCCCCCAGGCTCCTCCTGCAGGGCTTGGCATGGAGTAAATACAGATGAATATTTGTGGCATGACTACATGAGCAGATGGAGCTTACACCCACTCACCTGAGTTGACCCATGGCACACTAGATCCTGGGTAGAACTTTCAATGAATTGGTTTTCAGGGACCCTTGGGCAATGGTTCTTAACCTTTTTGGGGTCCTGCATCTTTTTAGGTATTTGATAAAACCAATGACTCTCTTTTCCCAAAGAATGTAAATATGCTCTCAGAACTCTGCTTACAGGCTGGGTGTGGTGGCTCATGCCTGTAATCCCAGCACTTTTGGGAGGCCGAGGTGAGAGGATTGCCTGAGCCCAGGGGTTCAAGACCAGCCTGGGCAACTTGGTGAGACCTCATCTCTACAATAAATCAAAAAAATCAGCTGGGCGTGGTGGCGCATACCTGTGATTCCAGCTCCTTGGAAGGCTGAAGCAGAAGGACCGCCTGAGCCAAGCAGGCTGAGGCTGCGAGTGGCCGAGATTGTGCCACTGCACTCCAGCCTGGGCAACGGAGTGAGGCTCTGCCTAACAAAAAAAAAAAAGAAAGAAAATTAAAAAAAAAAGAGAATTCTGTTTACAACTTGGGTGTTTGGAGACTCCTGGCGCCCCAGGTGAAAACCCCAGACTTAAGAAAAATCAAGGAGAGAAGAGAAACGTGGAGAACCAGCCCTTGACATCACCAATGCCTTAGGAGAGACATCTTAAAAGGGCGCCTGCTTAAAATGATCTTGACCCTTGGATGGCAGAGTTCAATTTATTAAAAGTGGAATGGACAGGAGGGGATAAGAAATCGCTTCTAGTTCCGCCTCTGCCAACTTCGCCCCCGCTACGCGCTTTAGGGTAAGACCAGCCTCGGGCGGCGCTTGCTTGCGAGAGTATCAGGAAATATCCCTGCCAGGTCCGATAAACGTTTGTCCAGGAAGCGGAGGACACGCTCGCGGCAGAATCAGGAAAACAGGGCCCTAGGAGTTCTCGGCGGCAGCCACGAGTTTCTAGCGGGCAACCCGCCCATTCTGCCCACCGGCGCGGGGCTGCGGACGCGGCGGGTGCAGAGGGCGCGCAGGTACAACCGTCCAGGTGCGGCCGGCGCGGCGCTGGGCGGGGCAGGAGGGGGGAGAA